TGTTTCTCAGGTATCAGAGCTAATGTTGTTGTTTTTTCTCTCTCTTTTATTTGACACACGTACTGGGTAGTTAAAGGAAGTGGACTCGAAAGTGGTCAAATTGACGGTCTAGTGCATTAAGTGTGTAAGTGCATAAACAAGTACCAGCAAGCTTTGATCTATTTTATGAACGATTTTTAAACATACTTTGAAAAAGAATCGCCAGCTTATAAATGTGAAACTATGATCACATTACAATTATTCGTCATTTTTATAAAATTCATTATTTGCTTTTGTAACATTTTCATTACATATACATTTTGATTTTAAAGGGGAAGCTACAGTTTCGCTCTTATAAAGCGCTTTGCTGGGACTTTAATATAAAGAGCGCAAATCTGTCGCAATTTTCACTTTTCAATAAAAAGCATATAACATCTTAAAATACACAATTATATAAATCATAATAACTGGCGATTTTTAAAACAAATAAAATCTAAACATCCTTTGTCCTACAATATTCAGAAGTAAATTGACGTTTATATGAAAAACTCGATTTCCTACTTTCAATCATATATGACAGACTTGATAATTAAAGAATTGCTTATGGTATGTGACTTTGTATCTTTCTTAAATGAAAGACAGTATCAAGTTTTCAATGCGCTGTCTCTTGTTGTATTTTCTGGTTGTTTAAATCTATGTATTTTTCATGTAGAGCGCGTGTGGTTCAAGTCTTTAACAAGGCCATCAACGGAAAGGTGTGCTCACATATGCCTTAGCGGTAAAATGAACTAATCAGATTTTAAACAGATATCTGATATAGTTGTCCACGCCAAGCTGTTGGTAGCTGTTGGTAATAACAGCAGCGCCGTTATGTATTAAAAAAAGAAATAAGTAATATTTTTACAAAAATATTACTTAAGAGTTGTTTTTTTTTTTCATATTTGTTACAATTTTTAAACATTTAGAGTTTATCTTAGCTTAATTATAACATATTTTAATTTGAGAATATTTGTAACATGTTACATAAGCATAATTTAAAACAAAGAAAAACATGAGTCAATAGAGGAAGAGTGGTAAGTTAATTATTTTTGAAATAAAATATTTGACGCGGAATAAAATGACTGTTAATTTTACAAACGAGGCGCATATAGTCACCAAATGTTACAACAAAAAATGTAGGAAAGCTTGATACATTATTGAGCTAAGTTAAAAGTATTAAGGAAAAAATATATTTCGGGAATATTTCTTTGCATGAATTTAGACATGAATGTGTTATTATTTGCCCGTGGTCGACCGGTTAAGGGTCATTGACTTTCATACAATTGGTCCTCACAGCTTTGGATTCGAATTTTGCAATTTCTCACATGTGTGGCAGCATTCCATGGGACGTCTGTGGGTGGTTCTATTCAGGTATCCGTTTGTACCTAGGAAAGGTAAAGCTGGAAAGTCAACATTATGACATTGAATTAAAAACCAACCGAAAAGAAGGGAGTTTAAGAGAAGATGGAGTCACATGAGTTCACATTAATTGTTTTAACTTGCATGTTTCTCAAACCGATTTTGTGTGGTAAAAACGGACCGTTTCCACGATAATGCACCATTTTCAATGTAACATTGCTCACCCTGCGCACCCTCTTACCTTAATTATGGATCCTTCCTTGGTTGGCACTGTCAAGAAATAATCAATTTCTATTTATAGATATGTTATGTTTGTTTCAGTAGTCCGCGCAAATTCACCAGTGATGGCACATTTTAAATTGTTTTTCGTTATTTTCTTTTTCTGCTATTATTTAATACCAGTGGTAACCACGGTAAGATTTTTATTTATTGAAATGTGATTCATTCAACTTTAAATTATTTCAAAAGTGTCTTTACAGTCTTTTATTTTTTACCGGAAGTGATAGCAGACGACAATTCATTTTTTTTTCAGTTTTAGTAAATTATTCAATATATTGCGATTGATTTCATTTAGCTTGTTTATGCTATTATATAGAGGATATTCAATTTTTTTTCTATAAATACAGGATTTATGTTCATTGAGTGGTATGAAAATAAATATTTCATGACTGACGGTAGCCACGAGTGAAATATGATAATTTTCATACCACAAGATGAAAATAAATTCTGTACTAGAAAAAAAACTTTAATTTTCTGTTTTTTATATACTGATTTTTATTTTTTCACATTACAATTTAAAGACTCACCCTTAAAATTGGTGTATTGGATGAATTTAAAAGAAAGTGAAAAGACGGAAAATATGTTTCACTGCAGTGAAAAATACATGTTTACGGTGAAAATACTGAAAATGAAAATACACACTTTATTTCATCAGTATTTCTCAATATTTGAGCCGCGTCATGACAAAACCAACACAATGGGTTTGCGACCAGCATGGATGCAGACCAGCCTGCGCATCCGCGCAGTCTGATCAGGATCCATGCTGTTCGCTATCAGTTTCTCTACCTGTTATAGGGTTTGTAAGCAAACAGCATGGATCCTGATCAGACTGCGCGGATGCACAGGCTGGTCTGGATCCATGCTGGTCACAAACCCATTATGTTTGTTTTGTCGTGACACGGCTCATTTCATTAATTAGTATATAAATAACACATGGGTGTGTGGGTAACAGTAAAAATATCATCCGGCCCGAGGACGAGGCGTAACGTCTATTATTATTATTATTAGTCCCCTACCGGTTTACCGGAGGGGACTTTAGGTTTACCCTCCGTCCGTCTGTCCGTCCATCTGTCTGTCCGTCCGTCAGTCAGTCCGTCCGTCCACAAAACTGGATCCCGCGATAACTTGAAAAGTACTGAAAATATTATAATGAAACTTGATATATGGATAGATGGCAGTCTGGAGATTATGCACGTCCTTTTTCTTTTATTCCTAAGTTGAAAATCTTGGTTGCTATGGCAACAAATAGGCTGATAATATGGCAAATTTTACAAATAAACTGGATCCAGTGATAACGCAAAAAGTACTAGAAATATTTTTATGAAACTTAGAATATGGGTAGATGGCAGTCTAGAGATTATGCACGTCTTTTTTTTCTTCTTATGTTGAAAATTCTGGTTGTTATGGCAACAAATAGACTTAAAATATGGCAAATTTTACACATAAACTAGCTGGATCCAGTGTTAACGCAAAAAGTACTGGAAATATTTTTATGAAACTTGTAATATTGGTAGATGGCAGTCTGGAGATTATGCAGGTCTTTTTCTTTTCTTCCTTTGTTGAAAATTCTGGTTGTTATGGCAACACATAGACTGAAAATATGGCTAATTTTACACATAAACTGAATCCAGTGATAACTTAAAAAGTACTGGAAATATTTTTATGAAACTTGACATATGGGTAGATGGCAGTCTGGAGATTATTCATGTCTTATCTTTTCTTCCTATTTTGAAAAAAAAATGGTTGCCAAGGCAAGAATAGGCCTAAAACATAGCAAATATAACAATATTTGTGATAAGTCAAAATAAGCTGAAATGTTTAATGAAATTGCATCTTTAATTCAAAAGTTATCTCCTCTTTAAGAATTTTGCTTTTAAAAATGTTATATTTTGGTAACAGCGATGTTTCAAATATTAACTTTAGAGTGTCCTTCAGTCCGTCTGTCTGTCTGTTCATAAAAACAGTTAAACTGTTTCCTGTGATCACTTTTAAAGAACTTTTCCAACAAATTTACTAAAAATAGAGAAAAATTGAACATTAGTGAATGGCCAGTGGCCCTTCAGAATGTTGATGAGGTTCTAACCATAGGGGACTTATGGATTGCTTGCAATACTATGATAATTGCTTGTTATTATTATTATTATTATTATTATTATTATAGACGTTGAAATTTGAGGGTTTTTTTTTCATATATATGATCAGTACATGTGCTGGGATTGACAAATATACATTTTATTTGGATTTTAAAGGTGTTTTAAGCTCCACACCCCAAGTGTCTGTGGTCCACCCCATCTCCCCTAAATTCTTAGGGTCCAGACCATAATAAATATTAGTTTTGTATCAAAAATTAAATGACCAAATATGTGATTGACACATACAATCTTATTTGAACTGCATATAAAATATTTTAAATCAGTTTTTGAGTGTTTTTTTTTTCAAACTAGTCAGTATGTCAACTGTATATTAGGTTTGACTATTAGATTAACAACATTCCACAAAATAGATCAGACTGCTGAGACATTAACTTTATAAAGTCCCAAAACTGTAACTTCCCCCACCTTCCTGTCCCCATCCTTCCCAGGAATTTGAAACATTTAGCATGATTCCCAAACTATGTTGTCGCAGATATACAGTTGTTATGTGCATAATACGGATACCATATGCCATTTTTAAGTTATACATATACATTATCAAACACATTTCGTATGTTTTGATTACATTAATGAAGAAGTAAAATGATTATTTTCAAGCATACGATGTATTAAATATTACGATGGGAAAAAAATCCTTTTGTATATGAACTTATGCAATTATTAAAACAGGGTTAAAGTGACATTATACTCATATTTTTATTGTCAAGTTGCGCTGAAGTGACTTTATATTTTAAAGGATTGACTGTATGAATGATGTTTGACCAATAGATTATTTTGGAAAATGTTTAGGATAAAATTTAATATCTGTCTAAAATATAGAAAGACTGCCCCGATCTTTTTATAAATTGAACGTTACAGGTAAATAATAAATGATATTTACTGAAATTTCGTTTGAATCCGGTGGTTATTTATTGTTTATGCAAGTAAATTATTAAAACAAAATGAAAATTTATTTTGACTCTTACCTGTTCACTCACTATATACCTTTAGATGGGCATAATGTCACTATTATTATGCATTGTTAAAGTTAAACATAGCATCTGAATATAGTGTTACATAACCATTTCTTATTTGCCGTATGCATTTCCTGATTCTCACCATGCAAAATTGATGTTAGTAAACACCTCAACATTTCATATATTATACAGAAGAATTGTCACTGATTAACACTTTTTTCTACTCTCTTTTCAGAACTTCAAGGCGACCTGATTAAATTCTACAGAAAAAGGTGTAGTTCAATACCTCTGTCACCGCTTCTTGAAGAAATAGAGACACCTCTAGCTGGGTTCTACGTGATGCCAGATATAGTCACTGTAAAAAAGAAGTCCCTAACTTGTCATGAAGAGGAGAGAACACCGATCAAGTCTTTGAAAGACCTGTTTTCAACCGGAAGTCGAGATCAACAAGAAATTTATCTATCAGCTGATGCAGGCTTTGGAAAAACTGCTTTCTCAAAATATCTTGCAGTCACGTGGTGTCAAGCTCATTGTCACGATGAAAACTACGCCTGCTTTAAAGACGACGAGTTAAAAACGTTATTAGACTTCAAGTTCTTATTTTTGGTTTTATTAAGAGACTGTACCTCTGTTTGCAACATTGACGATATGATTAAACAGCAAATTACGACGAAACTTCCTACTTCTGCAATACTAGATGAAGTTTTACGTAGAGAAAAGTGCTTGATTATAATGGACGGTCTTGATGAATGGAATCACCCTGATAATAGCTGTAGCGAAGTAACAGAAAAAATTCCACATCGATACGTACGTGATAATTGTGTTATTCTAACGACAACTCGACCATGGAAGCTCGGAGTTGCAAATCTCAAAACAAGTCAAATAAACAAAAAAGTAGAATTGGTTCAATTAAGTGCAGATTCTACGCGGCAACTTGAAGAAAATGCTATAAGAAAAATGACCGGTGTCCGTGACGATAGAATACTGAAGAGTAAAATATGGGACTTTAATAAAGTGATACGTGACCGTCGCCTAGAGCACATGCAAGTGATTCCACTCCTCCTCATGTATATAGTTTGCCTATGGTGCAACAACATTCCTATAGGAAATTCAAAACATGAAATTTACACCAATATCATTGAATTTCTATTATCAAGAACGTCAAAGAAACACCCGGAAGTTCAACCATCTCGTGAATCGTCTGCCAGTGAAATTCCAGAATACTTCAAAAGTCATGAATTTTGTAAAAAGTTTTACAGTCTTATAACATCATTAGCAGAACTAGCTTACCAAACATTATTTAATGAAACAAGAGAAAACACGCTGGTATTTGATAGAATGGTTGCTGATATATATCTCAAAGCAGACGACATGAAATTAAGTCTTTTCTCAGGAATACTGTCAGAAAGTAGAAGTAAAACTTTAATTAAAGAAATTATTAAAGTATCGTTTTCTCACAAAACAGTGCAAGAATTCTTTGCCGCCATATTTATAAGTTCTCAAAGTGACGCTCAGAAAACTGTTGTAGAAAAATGTAGAAATGTTCAAGATATTCTGGACATGTCAAAAATTTGTGAATTTATAAGTGGAATGAATGCTGACCTGATGTGTGAAATATTAAATGATTGGATGTCTGTGATAAATGAAGACGAGAAAACACGCGAATATAGAACTAGGACAGGTCGCGAGAACCGGCCAGATAATCCATTGTATAACATACAGGAAATGTTCATGTCGTGTTTACAAGAAATGCCTGAAAGTGAAAATATTCAATTATGTTTACAAGATTTCTTCATTGCCAACGAGGACAACGTGTACAGTGAGCTGTTACAACGTTTATTAAAACAAAATAAAACCAACATAAAATCTCTTTATATCAGATATACTTCCAGCAGTTTACGTGAAATTATAGATTTATTCTCTCTCACAGATCTCAGTCATATACAGAAACTTTGCTATTATGGTGGCAGCAGGAAGGAGGGCTGAGATAAGCCGGATATTGTTTCCCAGTTTACAGTGCGTTACTTTGTGGGATGGTACATGGATAAATGATGAAGAAAATCTGAGTGAAAATTTAGCGCGAGTACAAAACTTACAATATTTATATATTGAAGACTTCACGTTATCTCACAAAATACTGGAAACATTTTACAATTTTATCTCCGCTCAAAAATCAATGAAAGAGTTAAAATTGGAGTGGTTATACTGTAAAGAACATGGCTACCATGATTGTAAGAGATTGAACTTGGACTTGTCTCAACATTCAACTCTATCAAAGTTACACTTGGAGCTGTTACCTGGGAGACTACAATTAAATATAACAACACCGTCATTAGTTAATGTTACGTTGTGGAACATCAATCTAGATGATGAAAGTTCATTGTTACTGTCACGTGACATGTTGAATATTGAACGTGTGGTGTTGAGGAGGATAGAAATGTCTGCAGAAAGTTTACAGAACTTTATTACCGTGCTGAAAAATCTGCCGCAGTCAGTTACAGTAAAGATGTACGACATTACACCGGAAACAGAATATGACCGTGTTAGAGAAAATATTCGGAGTTCACAAACTTTTCATGTGATACAAGAGACGACGACTGGCGGCGGGTTTGAGTTCAAAACAATAAAACCAAGTAAACAATAAACAAAGGAAAAACATTGTAAAATAAACTAATGAAATGACTTCAATGATTTTAATAAATAAAAACAATTTAAATATGGACACTTAGAAACAAAATGGCGACTCATCAAACTTTTATTAGGACAATCATGTACTTCCGTTTTCAATTAATAATTTAAGTGACAATTGTTTATAAATAAAAACATTTAATTAATAGAAATAATTCAAGGAAGTTTTCACGGAATTTCAATGGATTAGGATATGAAAATATTTAACAGGTGAGTGATTTTATATTGAATGTTTTTTATTACCTTTATATATATTTTTTTGTATTTTTATATATACATGCATATGTAAGAACTGAAATAGATTATTAACAGTGAACAATACTCTTATTAACTTTTACTTGAAAATATATTTGATATAAATAAATTAAATTTTTAATTAATATTTACCATGAATTTTTTATTCCCAAAATATATATTTTTTTAATCAAAATAAAGTATTTTTAAACATAGTCCATGTAATTGTATGTATACATACAGTAGGTGAACACAGGTTATTAATTAACTCTCTATTTTCTTCTATACATTTTATTAATTTAAAAAATAAGATTGTTTTTCTTTTCTTATTTTCGGAAATATTCTCGTTAGATTTTTATTTTTAGTAACAATTTAATTGCCAGACTCTTTAAATCATTAATTAATTTTAAAAGTGTCTCCTTTAAATGTTGACCTGTCAACTTGTTTCCTTTAAACCATATAGTAGCCCTAGGGTCTAAACTGACTCAGTCTGGTGGGGGGGGGCATAATTTTTTTTTTATTATTAAAGTCATCTTTTCTAAATCAATCATTACTAAAGCTAAGGTATTTTGCATTAAACATTGTCTAGTTTACCTGTACCAAGTATGTTTAAATTAAAGTCCTTGGGTCAATATTTGCCCAACAGGGGGGGAAAGGGCGGGGTCTTAGATTTTCCTTAAATGTATATGGGTAACATTTTAGATATTCTTCCCTTATACAATGAAGGTTTAATCTTAGATATTTGTAAGGACACATACTCTAGTGGAAATCAATCAAGTTTGTTAAATTATAGCTGTTGGATTAAAAGGGGGTCATGGATTTTTGATAAACACATAAAACTTTAAAAATCATTTGAATTCACAAGGGCCTAAAACTTTGATGTTTTGCATGAAACATTATTTCGTGTTCCTCCAACTACGTAGTAATGGTATATAGGGAAAAAAATATTTTTTTCTTACACTCAACCCAAAATAGTTGTTTTGATGTGTTTTTTTTTTTATTCAACTTCATTTTTTATATGGGTACCAAGACTGGACGAGCACCTGTGGACTACATTAGAATAAAACATTGTTCTGCAAAATTTCCCCATTAATAAAATACATGTATGCGTTAATCTTGTGTCTTATTTCTCGTTTCAGCGGCCTTTAAAGATCAAAATCTTTGTGATGCAGAATTAGGATTTGTGTAGTTATAGATTATTTCGAGCAACAAAAATACCATGTTCCTTTGTTTACAAGGTAAGCCTTAAATTATCTTTATGATTGACAGATCAATTAAATCAAATAAAGATAGTAAAATAAAATATCGAAGACAGCTTCCATGCAAAAGACAATTGCTTTATTCAACCAATTCAATTTATAAATGAACGATTTTTAGGGAAATTATTGAAAAAATATTTCATTTTACGCCGAGTTTTGTAAACCGAGCTTCAATATCATCTGAGTTTTATACATCTTAAGCATAGTTTGGTACTAGTTATCTTAGGAATGGTCTGTGGTTCTACTTGGATATCAGCTTAGGCCAAATAGTTAAATTCACTTAGCTGACAACAGGCCGTGGTTCTACTCAGATGTCAGCTATTATGCACAAATGGCTTACAGCAGGCCCGAGGTTTATACTGTGGTGTCAGCGCATGCCTATATTTTTTCTCAGTTGGCGGGATGTATTCGGATATCAGCTTGTGCCTCTGAAACGGATATCAGCTTATGTCAAATTGTTAAATTTATATGACTGGAAAAGACAGTGGTTCCACATAGATGTCAGCTCTTGCCTAGATGATAAAATTCAGTTGGCTTACAGAAGTTTTTGGTTCTACTCGGATACCAGCTTATGCTTAAAAAATCAATTCAGCTGGCTTGGGGAAGGTGTTATTTTCAATTCAGTTCCTTCACGGAATGCCAGAGGTTCCCCTCTGAAATTGTCAGATCATGCCTATATTATTCCATTATGATTAAGTTGGCTTACTCTACTCTGATATCAGCTCGTGCCTAAATAATTCAATTCAGTTTGCTTACAGATGGTCCGTAGTTCTACTTGTATTCCAGCTAATATGCTTAAATAATTCATTTCAGCTGGCCGGCAGAATATGTATTATTCAATTCAATTTGCTTACAGAAGGTCTGTGGTTCTACTCATATGTCAGGTCGTGGAGATATAATGATCCATATAAAGGGCAATTTTAATATATTCTATCCATATTTCTATCACTTAATGGCAACTATTTTTACAAATGAAGGAGACTTATAGGCGATTGGGCGAGATGTATTATATAGAGGATATTGAATGAGTGTAAGTTCAATACTGAATTTATTGCACGAGTTGAATAAAATTATATTATGCGAGCCTCTTGCAGGCATAATATTATTTAATTCAACGAGTGCAATAAATTCAGTAATGAACTTACTTGAATTTAATATTCTATTTATCACATACCCAAGATAAAGACCGTTTAAAGTGAAATAAGAGTTATCCTTCATTAAACGCCTATAGTATAACGCTAATTATTTAGCGCGTCTTTACACTATGTATTATACACAACAAATAAAGTGAAGTATGTTTTAGTCACCAAGAACTATTAACTTATTATAAAATAGACCTATTAACATGAAAAAATAAGATATAAAACAGATTTAGATATACCATCCTCACTGCGGTATCGAAAATATTTGATGTATTAGCAAATATAACACTTAGAGTTTGCCATTATATATACTCGTACCAAATAGGTCATATGCATCTTAAAAAATCTCAGCAACTAAAATTATTATTCAACTAAGTTACAGGCAACTATATAAGTGATAAATAATGTATATCTTACACACATGATTACATTTTTTTTAATTTCTGGTTTTTTCATATCTCACTCTCAATTTTAAGTATATCTTCCAAGAACACTAAATCAGCTTATCATCGTAAAAATCTACACAAGTGACAACAAATATGTGATGATCTTATCTTTACACAGATATGACTCAATATAACACCAACAAAATCTCTAGCATCTGGGCTTTTCCATACAAAAACCACTTCTCTCTAAATAATGTCAATATGTCATCTCTCAAGATGTATAAGTATAATGATATTATCCTCAGCGCAATTACCGTTGCATTGTCTTATGACACTACAATGAACAGAGTGGACGTAAAGTACATAATCTTATCTAGTCTATCTCTATCACATTATATTTATAATACACACAAATATTGTATCTTTCTCTCAAAGTAAGAATACTATTAACGTTCAATACTAGCAATACACACAAGCTTTTAACTCATAATCTGCTCCGTCTAGATACTAATACTTAATACAACAATATGCTCTGTCTGTGAAATAAACTGTTGAGTGCCGATTTCGAGGTGAACTTCTTATACAAAAAAAACTGTCTTTAAGAAATACATCAAATGAAACTCCATGGTGAACAAAACCCCTTATACAATGTAATTAAAGTGGCTCATGGTACTTTCTATTATTGGATACCCCTAAGACCACCAAATTTGATATCTAAATAATAATAATGACTGATAGACAAATTTAGGAAATGTTTGAAGATGATTGATAGAGTTCAGTCATAAATAAACTTAATAATAAATATAGGCACTATATGAAAAGTCATCTGTTAATAATATTCAAAATCTTATAAATTGGTTGCACCTCATATAGTATCACTATGGAGAATAACAATATATACTAGAATTACGACTTTATACTATGATACACTAATGTTATATAAGCTCGTATCATGTAACTGATTCAACCTAAATGGCAAGTATTGGAATTACACCTGACTGAAGATTATACACCTTCAACATACTATAGCACAATCCTACTTATAGTAGTCTAATCCAATTAAACTAGTCACTGATTAAACTTGTAACATATTAACTAAACTAATTATAGTAATGGTGATATAGAATCCTTATTGTAGACCAATTCACTAAAAGAAGTATATGATTAAGTTGAATGTTAACATATTAATTAAAATGAATGTACTTAAAGAAGGGAACACTCCACTGAGCAAAAGTGATTTGATCAGGTATAGCATACAACTGTATGAACAATCAGTAAAAAATAACCTCCTCTTTCCAGTAAATTAAAAAATGAGTAATCCACACTATTGATACAAGAGAATCAGCTAGAACATCTACAACTGCTTGAAGAGAGTAGCAGTAACTTCCTAGAATCAATTCATGTCGCACTTATATCTGAAATATTTTAGCTCGACACAGATTAAATGGAATTCTAATATATACACAACAACCATATTATAGATAAATAATAGAATATAATAAAAGTATACCAATCCAATTAAAAACTCCAAATCTTCAATATAACGTAGACTCTCTAATCACACTCAATTAGGCTAAGAAAAGCATAAAACTACGATTTTCAATTTATTTTAAAAAGTATAGTTCTTAACTATCTTTGCATATATTTTCGTTTAAAGCGCCAGTTCATTATGTAAAAATTCTAATGTTATGTTTTTTAGGCTTTTTAAACCTCCGTGGACCCCTTTTAAAAATTATTTTCCGCTATTTTAAGTGAAATAGTTAAGATTACCTACATAATGACTACTTTTGAAAAAAAATCACTATATTGTTTGCCCCCCCAAGTAATTTTGGATGGTATAATTTTTGTTGTTTTTTACTATTTTTTACTTTTACAAAAAGGAAAAAGGAATTTTGAAATTCAATATAACTACAGTAAAAAAGAATAGAGATATGTTGCATTTTGCTATTGGTTTTATCTTAAATTTAAAAAGAGCTTTCAATAGAATGGCTGGAGTCGGAAAAAAAAATGTTCAGTTGTGTCAATGATTAGGTTATCTTACCAACTGTGATTTTTGGATAGTACATCTTCCTTCAAACATTTAAATAAAAAGAATAAAATCCCCTCAAAAATTACCGAAAACAACTTGGCTACATTTTACATTTCAGTTTTTCTTGAAAAATTTAA